CATAATTCAAGAATGGTAAATCGTACAATAATAGTTCATAGGTCAAAATAAAGCTCATAATAAGAGGGACATAAATATGTATAGTTTAGTTATTTAACAATTATACAATAAAAATATACTCATAGTATTGGTCCACAAATGGATCCCAAAAATTATCATTCATTATTCTTATCGGGATACAACTGGAATTTCCAATGATCCAATGACATAATGTTGACCCTTTATATAAAAAATTAATAAAAAGTGAAATATGTGCTCTGTTGTCACATTGAAGTACTTTTGAATACCCCCCCCCAAAAAAAATATCTATAATGATACATGAGAAACAAAAATGTGATTCAGTGAAGTGAACTCTTCCCAGTGATTTAGTTATATATATATATATATATATATATATATATATATATATATATATATATATATATATATATATATATATATATATATATATAACGACTTATTGAACATAGTAATAAATATAAACAATCAACTTTGTTATTTGTATTTAGTGGTCGAATCAAAATTGAATTAGGATTATTACAAAGACTGGATAGAATATAATAATTATGAAATTAAGTCAAATAATAGAGTTACACATATTATGAAAATAAGCAACATATCAAAACAAGGGAAAATTCTCTTGAAATTTCTTTATTGAATCATATTCTTATTTTTCCATAATAAAATAATCACTGAATGTGAATTTCTCACCATCATTCTCTGTCACATGTGAGAAAGTTTCAAATAAACTAAATGAATTGTATATGAATGATGTCAATAATAGAAGTTATGCATACCAATTGCTCTGACACGACAGAGGATGGAGATAGTCCATTCTCCCTTTTGAAATACTGCCCACTGCCTGTGAAGTCTTTCTCAGCATCTCCTTGTAGAAGGAGTTTTATTTACACAAGTGAGTGAATGAAAAACAAATATCCATCAATTGACTATGTTGGTAAATACTCAGGATATACCTGGGAGATTCGGAAGACTCTAATTCGAGACTAAGGTGCATACGCACCCCTGGATCTGTAGAGAACGAATGGTGTACGAACATATTTTTAGTCACTGGTTGACATGGGGCAGTATCTCCTGACGTACCTCATTGTCTTACGGACTAGACCTTTAGATTAATGGCTCAACGAATTGCCCCTTAAGAAAACTACTTATTTCCGTTTCAGTACTCGGATAGTATCCCAACACACACAAATATTCTGATGATATTTTAGAGTAAGGTATACTGAAGTGGAAAGAGATTACATCATCAAAACATTTAGGTTGGATTAACAATTGAATTTACTGGGTTTGGTAGCTTCGGTTACCTCTTGCTATTTTGATTTTACTTCCTATCATTTATAGTTTGAGTATCAAGCATAAAACCGAGTTGATAGATTTACAGATTTGCTGACATGAATTTAAGTGACCTTAAACACAAACACATAATTGTAGAAACCAATTATAATAATAATAATCTTTGACACAGTGGTAAAAGTAAAGTCGTGTCTTTTACAATTAAAGAATTAATTTTAATCAATTATCAATCAATTTCATTGTTTGCTTCATAAAGTTGCAAAACCATCAAGTCAATACATTTTACGTAGTGACAGTTTAACGATGCATTGACGTAATCGTTGAGTATGTAATTCACTTTCTGAATGATAATTGATTTATTACTGATCACTGAAATAGAATTGCGACCGAATATATGGATTCATTAACAATACTTTTTTAATACTAAAAAGTAAAAACGCTAGTAAAACTTTGTCGACAGCATTCGATCTGCACTAAGAAGGACTTGACAGGTATGACATTGATCACCGCCCAGTGATCAATCAATTGTGAAACGCTCAGAATTGAGAAATTATTGCTATATCTGAAGTTCGTGTGTGCTAATGATGTCGACAGATATAAGTAGTATATACACCAGTTGAAAGTGGAATGCCTGGACACAAAAGGTTGAGAAGATCGAAGGGAAGAGAAAAAGATAAAAGAATGACTGGTATTTAAATGAAGAACCAATAAAGTCTAAAACAATTGTTAAACATTGTGCAAATGAAATATTTACTGTATGGTACACAGATTATATTAAGAGATTTTGTAATTTTGTATCCAAGTATATTTGGTCCCCTCAACTTGTTTTCGGTCATCGCATTGGACAAAGTGAATAAAAATAATGCAACACTAGATTATTTTGTATATAAGTTGAACTATCTATGCTCAAGATTTGTTTTTCTGTTTTATAGAATCCAATAAATGAATGTTAAATGTAGACAATTTGACTGAATATTCTATATCATAGTAATATTCTTATTTCAATTTATTAGAAATTGATATTTAGGAAATTTAGCAGATCTACACGTTATGGACGAACCAATTAGATTAAAGATAGTGCCTCTTGGGATTTTATCGCACGAAACTCATTCACATTACTAAAAGTCATTCTTACATTATATTTGATATCAGAAGCTTAACCCTAAATGTTAACCGTAATTCTTCATGCCTAATAGGTAGTTGAAGTTATATTCTAACAAAAAATCCCACATTTATCAGCAAAAATATATTATGCACAAGACTTTACAAGCTGTAGTACCCATGATAATCAATCAAAACAGTCTGCGATTGTCTTGTTGTGAATAATTCTACACATACGGTTTTAATTAGAAGGGGGTTTTGTTGAGATCTTAGTAATTTAATAGTTAAACTCATGAGTCAGTTGAAGCTAGACCACCATAAAAAGCCTGTAGGCACTGGATGGTCGTTTCGTCCCAGTATGGGACTCCTAAGCAGTGCGGTCCATGATCCCGCGGGATGCGTAATGCCGAGGAGTCGCATACTAGGACGGAACGGCCATTCAGGTTTTTTATGGTGGTGTAGCATTAATTGACTCATGAATTCATCTATTAAAACACGACTGTATTTTGGCAATCATGTTATACCAAATAATTATCATTATACTATATTTCAAAAATTGGTAGCATGAACTTGTTTGAACTAGTTAAATTATAGTAGATTTTATTTAGTTTATATATTGTACAATGAAATGTCATTAAATAAACAGTAATTGTGATCAGATATCACCTTGTCTATTCTGCAGTATTTTATTCGTTGAACTCATTATGAGGTAGTGAGACAGGATACTGCAATGTAATCTCAGAGATTCCAAGGGCGGAATTTTTTACGTTACATTTTTGCTGACAACAATCACCAAAGTTATCACAAATCGACCAACATTTTATTCTGCTCAACATAACTTGGAAACCAAATACTAGTTTGTGAAATTAGCCTTGGAGTACACTTTCAGCTTGATAGCAAATAAGTACTCAAACGAAGTGAAGTAAAGTCTTACCCCAACGTCATAAGGACGACATTTGTCTACTAACTACTAAGCCATTATCTCTTTGATCAGTGCTGTGATAGATCAGACTAGAACGATCTTGACTCCGAAAGATTTTTAATCATTAGGGACATTCTAGTGAGTATACATATTTTTATTATGTAGATAATAAATATGTGGTTTATGGTATTTCAATGCAGCCATAATTGTAAACTAACTAACCGTCGGTATAACAGTTCATAGGTTACAGTTAATTATTACATACTTATTAATCACTTCGTACCGAGAAAGGCATAGTTATGAACACGATAGTGACACATTGTGGTTAAGTAAGCGATACGCATTACCATGTTTTTCAATCATAATAATAACATAAGTTGGTATATTTTTCCAATGTTCTTATTGGGGATAGAAAAATCTGAGCGGGCCAATAAAACATACGATATCCAGCTGTTGCTGGTCACTGATGTCATTTAACTTACGAGAAACTGTTTATTTGTGAATTAGATAAGCTAGTGATTCAATTAAGTGAGCATACAGAAATCTAATTCGCAACAACTTTGTTCAGTGAACACACACAAATCAATTGTAATTTTAAGTACTGCTGAGCACTTTTTAAATTAACTCGTAAATATTTAAAATGATAGACGTGAAAATTAGGTAAACTGCAACAAAGTCCAGTGACAGTACTTTGAGTAACAGGTAGTTTTGTTTACCTGGATTAGGTTGACATGGAAACGAATCAATCATGCAGAAACAAGTTTATCAGTTAATGGAACAGTATCTGCAGTAAAGTTCAGACGTTTAAGGTACTGTTTATTTAGTCTGACAGACTAATAATGACTTTAGAACGCACTGTGCATACATAAGCAATCATTTACACACGTTTATTCCTTAGAAAAATGAAACCACTTACTGGCCAAACACATGCACTGATCATTAGATTTTTTATCAGTCCACTAGATCATTGTCCTGATTTAGAGTGACAACCCGAGCCGATGACAATTATTGATGAGTACTACGTTTACTATGGCTGAATAATCCGGATAAGTTATGTACTCGTAAAACATAATTCCCTTCACACTGGACTTCAAAAATGTTACAATGTTTTTCACTTCAAGATTGACTGGTGCTATTTTTTAATTGGTAGTGCCTGGAATACATTGAATATAATGTGGAATTATTTGCTTAGCTATTACTATTTAATGAATTCTTAAGAGTATGAGATTATTCTGTTCGTCTTGAATGTTACAATTTACTGAAACTCGACGATTGAAATCGGAATATTTGATGATTATCATAAATAAAAATCAACATGGAACGCAATTTCACTGTTGATGCTCACTGAACAATAGGAAATAAGTGCTATAACTATCGAGAGAGAAAATTAATTCTATTTCGTAATGGAGCATTACGTACTGAGTAATTGGTGTTTTGAAAATACTATCTTTGAATACACCATCTTCTGAAAGTTCAGCTGAATCAAATAAATGTATAATCTTTTCAATTAATGCTTCATTTTAAACAACTGTTTATTAATTCGAAAATTTTGAAGTCACCTTTAACAGCAAATATGCCTGGTCCCTCTGAACTAAGACATACATTACAGTTTCGATGTAACTAGAACCAACTTAAGACTTGTTCTTCTTTGGAAAAAAAAATTAATGACAGGCTCAATACCACTATTGTTAGTAACAGGAAGACGAGATAGACATTTTGTATTTAACAATACTGTTACATAGAAATGAACAAATAAATTTTCCTCCTGTAAACTTTTAAATTTACGAGATGCGAATTAATGGATAACGGATGAAAAACCGAAGTAACAACAAAAAACAATGAATGACCAACCAGCTAAGCTTACTTTATTTATGACTAACAGCATCAGATTAAAACATACATGAATATTGAAGTACTGGCTGAAATGAAAACGGTTAATTAAATTAAACCACATATGTTACATTTATTATCCTGATCCAAGGGAAAATCTATATGAGGAAAGCACATGAGAAAAGTTATTCAGAAAAACACTGAAACAGATACCAATACATATATGAACAAATACGATACATATTAAGCGTCAAACAATGTCATAATTTGAATCTGATTGGTTTAATTTAAAAAAGACTTCGGTGGTACGCATACAATTTAGTTTATAGAAGACCATAACAAAGTAGACAAAAAACTGAAATATCCATGCAGATAGAAGAGAGAGAGAAAAAATATTTTCTTTTCAAATAGGAAGTGCTTATTCTACACTTTTTTGGAATAATTTACAAGATCTACAAAACATTAATAAAGTAATGTAGTATACTTCTCTATAAAGAAGGAAATAGTAAAGATATTAATTAGAATGATAAATTAAATTTATCCACGTTTATAAACAATCAGAATAGGCATAAAATTAATTTTATGAAATGGTCTATCTTATTCATATTAATGACCCATTAAAGCAATTCCAAGAGCTTTACGTTGTTCTTCATTTAATTGACTGACACAAACCTCTACCAAAGATGAATTAGACTAAAAGAAGAAGAAAATAATAATAAAACAAAAGATATTTACATGAAGAAAATTTTATTAAAAGTTTAAGGTGACTAAAATTTAAAAATAAAATAGACTTTAAACATTTTTCATTGATACTATTCAAAGAGATTGATGCTTCTGTCTTCTACCTGTAACATATTTACAAGTGAATGGTCACAATAAAATAAATCTTATTCAACAGTAGATTATCAGTTTTCAACTTGAACTGAAACATTCATTATTCTAATTGTTGAAAAAACGATTCTATAAAAAAAACTATAATAATCAAAGTTATTTCTTACCAAACTATAGTACAAACATCATCCAAGAATTATGAAATGATTGTCACACTGAGTGGAACGTGGACTACAAAATTCTCTTTGATTACAGCTTTAAAAAAAGAAATTCTAAAGACATTGGATGAAATAGCTCGAAATCAATGAGAGTAACACTTGCCCACTCCTTAGTTTTGTTCCACCTTTGATTGTTTAATTGTCATTGATCTATTTCAGTTGTATTTTAGGCTAAATTTTTCACTGAAATAGTTGTCGGTATTTTCCTCTTTTTATTTCCATTTCTCTAAGCTCCTCTCCTACTGTATCGGCGTAGTGTTAGTAATTTGGGTGTATGCATATTTCCAATAAATCTTGTGTTGTTCATGATTTCTTGAAGTTCCCATTGTGTGTGTAAAAGATTTAGTAAATTTATTACTAACGAGATGAGAAGAAAGGTGTCTTAGTTTTTGTAGTCAAAATGAAAGATCTATACAGATCATAGAGTAACAAACTAATTCAAAAGTAAAAGACAGGTTAGGGATTTTTTCACTTTTAATCCTTAATATTCACAGACATTTCTGAAGAATAGCTGCCTAACAAACGGTAATTCTGTACGCATAATGTGTAATGTGTGAGACATATCTAGTGTGAAGGTGAAAATGTTTATTGATGAAATCGAGTCTTCTAAGCTGTGTGGGTTGATCCTGAAGCGTTTATCTTAGTTATTAGCACGAACTCATGTTTTGAAAATGTGAATTAAACTCGAGTGGCTTACTTGTATGTGGCGCAGTATGGATACGCATCGTTGATAAGCGGAAGGTTTATCCAAACCGTTTTGCTGATTGAAACCACTAGTCTCATGAACCGTTTCCAATTTCGACCGATTTTCTTCAGCATTTGTATCAAACAATCCGCCAGTAGACATAGATTCAGCGATAGCACGAACGATACGGGGTAGGTTGGAATTATCCGGCCCAATAACAACAGGATTGTTGGCTTCAATAAGATCACATAGATAGCCGTATACATGTTCAGTCTCTACAGTATCATCACATATAGGAAGCCAACCTAACCATCGAACGATCAAAGCGTCAATACCTCCTAGTGCTGGCGGTAAACATTCAGGTCGATATTTCATAATCTGTTCAATAAAAACATTAATGTTGTTGAAAATGTAAATTATTGATTGCTATATAAATTAAGGAATATTAGTAAATAAAATGAATAGACAAGTTCAGTTCAATCAGAGCTACCGTAACCATTAGACAAAAAATTAGGTAATTATCACTAAGAGCTCACATCGCACTGGAATGCAAAAACAGACAACGAATGGCACAAATTGTGCAGAAAAATGCATTTGAAAATTATTGAAACGCACCTTTGTGACAGCGCTAATTGCGTTTTCGGTGCATAAATTGTTTTCTTCAGACTTTGAATCTGGGGCTTCAATAAGCTGTATAAGTGGTCCAACAAAATCAGACAATATTTGATTATACTCAGGACCGCCTTTTATAGCAGCTACACCGATCCCATAAACAACAGCTTGGCGAACATCCGGCTGCTGGTGATGTACAGCCTGGACAAATGTAGGCAAGAAGAATTGATGAAATTGCCAACTCTGTGTTCCAGTAAATTCAATTACCTCATCCCATAAACAGATGCCCCACTGCAAATCTGACCAAGGACGATTTTGTTCCTATGAAAAAAAACCGGGTTAAAACAAATATGAGAATCCGAATGAATAGATGGAATACTTCTAACTAGTCTACAAACGCACTACGTTAAAACTTGTTCAGATCAAATGCTTTCAAGATTTATTATAGGGTATCATGTCAGGAATAATTATACTAAACAGACATTGCCTTTAATTAACCGTAGAAATCCCTAATTTGTATTACAACAATATGTGGGGTGAGCGATTTGAAATGGTGTACTGTAGTGGAATGTATAATTGGATTTGTATTTACACTTGGTGCACTAAAGCAGATAACTGAACGATGTGTAGATAGTTTAATCTATTTTCCCTATCAAAACCAATCCAAATTCGACTGATTTTCACAGTATCTTCATCCATCCGTAATCAAAGTAGAGCCAGATACAGATGTGTGTAGGCACAAGTCATACCATATCGGGATGAGATGAGATAAATAGTAGAGTCGAAATAAAGTAGCAGTAATAATAACCAGAGATTAAACATTGAGATTATTCGAAAAGACAGAATGAAAAGGTACATATATAGGAATACTGCAACTCAAAATAGAGAGGGAGATAAAGAGTAGTGCCGTATGCGTCAATATGAACGATTCTCAATCATGTAGCACAAATGTCTCTAATCGTTGATTATGGTCATCAAGTGGACACCAATCAGACATTGTACATCTACCAACAATCAGTGACTTCATGGATTGATATCATGTGTTGGTTTGGCCATGCCCAACTTTCTTCAAACTTACTCTCACATTAGAAAACATTGACCACTGAGGTGGGTGGTAGGTAGATGGACATAAGTAGCACGTCGTAATTATTACAGTTGATGAAGGTTTACAATATCACCGATGTTTAGTACTTAATGAGTAACATTAATATTGCTCACTCGGTCATTTTATGATGTGCGAGTAATGCTATGTAGATCCATATAAAAAAAGAACTTGCAGCCTATGCAGGGCGAAGATAGAGAATGATTAAAACTAAAAAAACAACCTATTGAAAAGAAAGTGATATAAATATTTCCCTTAACAGTGGATATCCAGAGCTTAAACTAGTTTGATGGTTGGGTACAGAGAATCCACCTAGGAGAATTGGAAAACCCTGATTTCAAACCAATGGTGCATGTGGGCTTTAAGATTCTGGGGGGAAATGGTGTAAATATATTTTGGTTTACCTTTGTATCAATGTTTGTTCATATAAATAAATAAATAAATAAATAGTAAATAAACACATACCAGGAGTTTGACACAGAATACCATAAGTTGTTGAAAGAAAGGAAGTGCTTCAACACCAAAGGCAGCGAAAATGGAATGAACAATATCACACATTTTTGATAAAACATATTCATCTTCATCTTTTTCACTTAACAGGCGTTCTTCTTCGAATTCATCATAATCTTCATTCTGGGCAAAGTAGAAAAATGTTATAACTTGTTTTGAATAAATGTGTTTTGCAAATCTATATAATAATGTCACGCTTATAATGGTTAAGTGAAACTCTTCCTTAAACATGAGTGAAATACATAATAACATACATACTTTATCATCAAAAAAGTGAGTAAAATAGGCAGATAGTCGAGTTTATTGTACCTATGAATAAAATTAAAATATTTAATATTTTTTGTTTATGTTCCATTTGCCTATTTAGTTAACTGAAGATACATTACAAAAGATAATAAACATATATACTATTTTGGTGGGGTTTTGTTCTCTGAGCTGGATGGTTTGGTCGTGGAGCTTTTATCGTTCTTCTGAACGACACCATCAGCACAAACTTCAGATAGAAGTGAAGTGTTCGAATTTCTCCATGTGTTTCACAGCTTGTTTTGTGCACCTCGATGTTGATTGGTTCTTATTGACCTTAAATTTGTCATTGTTTACTTCTTTGTTTTGGTTGTGTCTCCCATTGGTTTGATTTTTGTTCTCATATTTGTCCATGATTTTCCTGATTGGTTGGTAAATTGGATTGATTTCAATATGCTTGTTGATTGCTGATTGACCTGAGTGCCAGGCTTCTAAAAGTTCTCTGGTGTTCTTGGAGTTTCCTCTGTCTAAGATTTCTACATTTTCCCAATCGAATGAGTGTCCGTAGTTATCCACGTGTATTGAAATAAGTGAAGAGATATCATGGCGTTTGACTGCTAATTGATGTTCATGTAGGCGTAGGTAGAGGGGGCGTCCGCTTTGTCCGATGTAGTGTTTGTCGCAGTCGGTACAATTTATTTTGTAGATGATGTTTGATTTGTTTTCCTTTGTTATTTCATCCTTTGGTTTGTATAGGATTAATTCTAGTGGTTTTGTCGGTTTGTGTGCCACACCGATCCCGAAGGTTTTCAGCAGTCTCGTTGAGGTTTCTGATATTCCTTGTATGTATGGTAAGGTGATCCTTTTGTTGATTTCTCTGCTTGACTTGGGTTCTGATGCTGCGTGCGGTTGGTATTTTTTGATGGAGTTGATTGGGTAGCCGTTCTTTTGAAATACGTCCTTCAGGTATTTCTCTTCATTTTTTCGTGCTGCCAGTGTGCCCTCGCCCTCTTGAACAATATGTGTATGCAGTTGATTTTGTGAGCTCTTGGGTTGTTGCTATTGTAGTTGAGGATTTGATCTGTATGGGTCGGTTTCCCATAAACTTGAGTTTCCAGTTTTCCTGTGGCGGTTCTAGTGATCAATATATCCAAGAATGATAGTTTGTTGTTTGACTCCTGTTCCATCGTGAACTTGATGTCATCGAAAACGTTGTTGATCAGTTTGTATTTTCCTGCTCATTCTTTTTGACGATGACGAAGGTGTCGTATACATAGCGAATCCAAATTTTTGGCTTGATCACTGGTAGTATCGCGGCTTCTAGTCTTTGCATCACTGCCTCTGCGATCAGTCCTGATATTGGTGATCCCATTGGTGTCCCTTTTATTTGTTCGTAGATTTTGTTGTTGAATTGAAAATATGTTGTTAGACATAAATCGATGAGTTCTAGTAGACTTTGAATTTGAAGCTTCGTGTATTTGATGAGATTTGTGTCGTTGTTGAGCAGCAGGGATATATTTTCTTTTGCTAATTTTGGTTCCATTGAAGTGAATAGTGCTGTTACGTCTAAGGATATCATTAGTTCGTCGTTGTTGATTTGAATGCCCTTAATTTGGTCCAGGAATTGTGTGTATGTGTGGGGAGGGGGTAATTAACCTAATTGACAGATCCAGTGTCCCATATAAAAGAACGAAAAGTGTAATATGTTTGCGAGGTTTATTTATCACCAGAAATCGTTAAATCTAAACTAATAAGAGCGTATTTTGTGTTTCAATACTTCTGTGTAATAGTGACTTTTTATGAACATTACAAGAACAATGTAAACTGAATGCAACTTACCTGTCGTTGTGCAAGACGTTCGTCACTTTTTTCAAAATGTTCATGAAACAAATGATCTAACAGTTTTCGAATTTCAGCTAATTGATCACTTGTCACGTAAGTCTTTCCAACTGCTTCGATAGAATTTGCAAGTGCTTGTAGATGATCTGCTACAACATCACGTTCAGGTTCGCTGGTTACTGCTCGTATAAGACTTTTGTGTACACGTTCCCAGGCAGCTTTTACCAATTCTGGTTGCTTAACCTTCATACTACTAAGAAGAAAAGGTAAGCATTCGGCAGCAGCACTACGAACCTATTTGTTTGAAGAAAAACGTCAAGAAATGCATGGTTGATGTAGTGTGTACAAATACAACAAGAAAAAACTTCTATTGATAAATATCATAAAGTAAGAATAGTTATATGGGGTAACCCCCGACACCTAGTGGATGTCAGTATTTTCATTGATCAAGTTTCCGTGTCGTAGAGGTCCTCTTAGTCGATGGATAACTATGGTCTTGCTCCCTTTGACTTTTATCTCTGCACAGATTTAATCTTCCGTATATGAGTATGGTGCTTTAGAATAAATACAATCACTGAAATCTTTAAAAACACTGAAGTACTAGTGACTTGGGAGCTTCGTATTTGCTATTAACAGAATTAGTTAAAATTATAATACCGGAAAATTAAAGTTGAGAACTACGATTTTCTAATTCCATAAACGAATTTTCAATTGTTAAAATCAACGAGTACAAATGATGATCAATCAGTGATATACAGTGACACAAAGAGTATTTGAGAGTAGTGGCTGCTCATGAGATCGAATCGTTGACATAAGCTGTCGAGTGATTTAAAACCAAAGACAAAACCACTAGCCACAATAATTAATTTCTTAATTTAATAAAACGACACTTTTGTGTATGAAATATTAGTACGAAAAACAATACCATAAAATGTCATAAGCTACTGCAAGGAATCACAGTTTGTAGTTCAATCACGCTTTTACTCGATTGAGACCTAACTACTAGGCGTAATTTTTCCTTTCCATATCACTTAGCCACCGAATGTAGTAATCATTAATTACTTAAGGGAGGAGGTATATTCATGTTGTTAAGTTGGTTATAAGACTTTAAAATGTCAAATAATTTACAGAACATGTCTTTAAGAAAAAATCTATCAACTGATTAATTAAATAGAACTGATTATAACTTACTTCATCATTAAAATAGAAGTCAAGCAACGGGACCATAATATCCAAAACTTGTTGACAATAAGGAGCAAAACTCTCCTTCATTTCACGTGCATAACAAACCAGCATCTGACAAGCTGTTGCTTTGTCCTCTAGTCCACTAAAGAAAAATAAATAATTTTATCAACCATTAGGGTTTGAACTAACTTAAGCTAACAATAAAATAATCTTCATATTTCCAACTAACCTTGTACGAATTGCATAATTACGGTCCTCTCCCAATTTGACAACTTGCCAATCAACATCCGATTCTACATCGTCTGCTTCATCATTGTCGAGGATACATATCTCAGGTTTTACACAGGCAGAGCGTAATACTTGTGGCATAACAACAGGAAGATAACTTTCGAAATCACGACCCAATAGCTTGCAGATTCGTGCCCAAGCGCTAATCATATAAGAAGCCTAGGAATTAGAAATTATAATCATGAATCAAAAGAATAACAGTAGATGCAAACACATTCCTAAATGCTATATAATGAAGACTTACTTGAGGATCATCTTCATCTGATGATTCAGAATCCGTTTGAGTTTGAGTTTGAAGTAATAGATTCATTACCGGACCGACATCCTGAATAAACTTTTCTTTTCCAACAGCCAATCCAATAAGACTTATACACTCAATAGTTTTACCACGCAATAGACGTAAATCTTTGTGTATAGCATTTTCCATTATATACTTTAGGACTGGCATAAAACTGTAGACAAAGTAAACATAAAATTAAAATTAGCATAGCTAATATATAAGATGATGAATACTCAAATTAATAAAATATGGTTTATTTTCTAAACAATCTACCTCATTAGTAATAGCTAAGAAACAATGACTTTTAAGTAGGCCTGCAGCGCTTTTGATAAATGTACAATTAATTAGCACTAATCATTTCTATATTAGTTAACGAATGACTACGGTGTGAGGTAGATAAAATGACACAGAATCTTGATTCAAGAGATAAAGTAGGTCTAAGTCATAGTTTCTGGTAACAAAAGCGTAATAAAAATCGGGGAATATACAAATTGTAAGATTACCCCTCTAATAATAGTGATAATAATAACGTTAGGATTTATATAGCTCAAGGTATGCAGCTAATCATTCCTGTCACATTGGGAGTGTTACATTTAAAACTTAGACTTTTGCTATACAGCGTACAACTTGAGTACTCGAACGCTAGAACCATCCAAGTAGCAAGTTAGAAGACAGAAGACGAGTGGGAAAGAAACTTATTCCAAAGTGTCGAATATGGTACAAAACACTCAGGTATTTATAGTTTTTAGTACAAAGGAAACCATTATCACAATCATTCGATCCGTGTGCAGTGGTTTTTAGCATTTGTTCAATCGGGAAGCTACACGTCGAAATTCTGGAAAGTCCTTCCAAAAGATGATTAGATGGAATGTCTCCGAGCTCCCTTGAGTTCGCCGGGAGATAGACAGGAAAATTACATTGCCCCAGACAGCATCCGATAATATAAATAATTTATTTCAGCCCTTCATATTTTAATACCTATTCTTATCCAATCTTGTCAGAGACATACAACCTAAAGTGATTTTATCAATTTTGACATTCATTTTCCTACTAAAAGATTTCGCAATCAGATTATTTACATGACTTGAGTCTGTCGAAGACAAGAAAAAAGACAGCAACCTTTTCCTACCTCCTTAAATAGAAAATGTTACTTTTAAATTGATTTAATTCGATTATCGGTTTTATCAAATTAATTGGTGGAGCACCTGATGACGCTTTATTTGTTTTTAACTACAGAGACTCTGGTATTTTTACATTTTGATCGACATGGAAATGTAATGTGGTGAATGAAAATAAGGTCGAGATCTTACGTAATACAGCCGTTGAACCTGATCAGCCTGACATAAATTAGGTAACAATCTGCTCCGATATTGTTTAAGAAAGGAATGAACAACATACGATCATCGTTATGAATATACGATCGATAAAACCTTTATATTGGATATTGTCATTTTTATTCATTCACCATCTTGAAACATCGACTTCGATGGCTTGGACATGTTCTACGAATGTCATCCAAGAGAACTCCATGTCGTGCATTATTTGCCGACGATGGGACTAGTTGGAAAAAGCGGAGAGGTGGTCAGTGTATGACATGGTGTAGAGGTATGAAAGAAAGATGCAAAGGACTGTTGGTACTTCACGACTCCTTGGCTGGGGTTCGAGAGATGGTGCGACACAGTGGCTAGAGACGTCATCAGATATGGCTCAGGATAGAAGTCAGTGGAGATCCTGCTGTAACCTTCATTTACTTTCTTCATAAAAAGTGGCTGTATCTTCCTTAACTGAAAGATTTCTTCTGGTTGTACTTTTCCGTTTCCTCCATTATTATTAGCACCATTACACTACCTTACACTAATCTGGTCGTTATTGTTTTTCTTCTTTTGCGCTCCTTACCTTCCTTTTTTCTTCTCTTCCCATTCTCATTGTTTTGTGTGGCGCATATACATTTGGTGCCCCCCTTGTACCAATATTTACGTGCTCAAATAATGACAATAATAATTATTATTATATTGGATAACTATGTTGATGAATGAAATGCAGTGAGACGCTGAATGTAGTCATGTAGTGTTAGTTACAAAACGTAGAAGGAAAATAAATGAGCAAGATGTGTACAGATTGACCGATTATTTTTTTCTACTTAATAAAAGATTGTGCAGGCTTAGGAACAATTAATTGTATAATCCATAAAGTAAGTTACTGAGTCTTCATAAACGACTTTAAATATTTCAAATATACTTCACGACTAAAGACACATGAAAAAAGTTAAAACATCATACCACAGTTTGAAGGTTTATTATAGTCTAAAACTGGGAATCAATATATACAAAGTAAACGCACCGATCATAATACGGTAAGAACTTTTTTTCAGCTGCATCAGCAACAGATGCCACAGTTGTTACTATTTGCATGAGCACTAACTTGCGACCATGCTCCACCATCTCCTGAAACTTGGAATTCATGATTTGTTCGAGTTTGGAGACCAGATCATCCAAGTAATTTACCAGAATGTGCTGAAAAATGGAATATATGAGCATGTATAATAACGAATTAAAACTTGACAAATAATTATTTAATTGCACGATGCGCTAACGTAAGTAAATGTAGTCAATTTTTCTTAATTTGTGGAATTAAACTTTTTATTTCTCTTATTGTTTAGTTGGGGATTATTTTGCATGATAAGAATACTTCATTTACATTCAGTTTCACTTAATTTAGCGAACTAAGTTATTACACAAACTCGATTATTAGACTGACCAATACATTAATTATACACAAGTGAATATCATCTCAATAACACTCTAAAATTACAACGCCATTTGTTTTCTTAGGATCCTAGAACCCATGTGCACCATTGGTTTGGAACCAGGGTTTTCTAACTTCCCTCGGTGGACCCTCCAAGTTCACCAACCCGGTTAAAGCGGACATTTGCTTTTCGTCCTCTCAATTTCGTAAACAACAGTAATGCCGCGAGAAGTCAGTGAGTAGGACTTTTCTGTCAGTGGCTGTATACGTGTGGCCATGTGAGAGCATTTCGATGGGGAAAACGCTCTCCTCACCCTCGGCCATGCCAGGGCATTTGGGGGCTGTTTTTTTGTTATGGTGATCAAGCGTTAGAAGCTTGTATTGGTAGCTGAATCGGAGCGTAGATGATAGTAACAGAATTGAACCAAAGTCTAATTATGCGGACAGATGCAAATTTAAAGGTAATTATTGAAATCGTTTTTATAAAATACATGGTGGCTTTCATAAGGAACGAATATAATTTAACTAGTGAGTTAAAATTATTGCATGTTAATGATTACGAAAAAACTACACCGATAGAAATATTCTGTTCACAAACCTGTGGTACTTTCTCACAGAAATTGACTAGAGCAGCCCCAGCATTGGCTTGTACTCTAGGCACTGTATCGTTAAGTGTTTGGACTAATGCTGGGAGCACAGTACTGTGATGAGTTTTCTGTAGTTTTGGGCCGAAATCCGTTGCCATTTGTCCAACAGAATTGCAAGCTGCATATCGAACACGTGGATGCGGATCACTAAGACGAGGGAGGACGGCATCTAATATAGAACCAAGCATAGTCTCCATCTGTTTGCTGCTCCCTTCACTGCATGCGGAAATTGCCATTAATCCAGCATACCGTCGCTTCCAGTCAGCTGTAAACAAAACAATTATATTCACTTGGTATTGTTTGTTTGAATCTTTCCATTGATGTTTAGAACGGCAATTGATCAGTCTATTATTGGTATCAGTCAGTCAGTTACAACGTAGGACCAGGCACATACGTGCATCGATTCAAGTTGCCACACCTCATTAGCACAGCAAGACGAACACCGGATTCATAGAAGCAGTTAACTTAATGGTGTAATGTAAAAAGGAAAGGTTTTTTGTAAGGATATGAAATAATTTTAATCTCATAGTTTAAGGGAAGACAAAGAGTGTATATACCTACACCATCGTGATCGATTCTGAGCCAAGTCACCTAGAGCCTCAAACCATTGGTTGCGATGGTCGCGCGGACCCCAACCGAGTAGTTTCCATCTACCAACATGGCTAAGACTAGAAGTTAGCGACTTCAAGGACTGATGCCACGTTTTGGTTTGGCATATGTGCACACTGTGCGCATTGTCTCGATATAGTCTTTATTTACAAGTATTATATGCAAAGAAGGATAGTGGCTAGTAAATAGGACGAAACGTGCGTCCTGGATTCCACTGCTAGCCACTATCCATCTTTGCATATAAAACAATAAGTTTCAAACAGAACTTATTTGATGAATAACTATCAAAATACCCAGTAAGATGAACAAATTAGTTAAGGATCACAATTTCACGGAGTATAGGACTACTAAAAACCAAACTAATATCTTTTTACTTCGAAATAGTATAGATATATTTGTACATTGACTAAGGAAACGCAGATTTTGTGTAAAGACTGTTAGTTACTTAACTCGTAAAATTAGGGAAAAAACTAAAAATTCATGAATTACCGTTTTGCAGCATATTTGGGACAGATCGACGGATTTCATTTAAGATATGTTGACCACCTACAGCACATGATAACCTGTCAAGTGCAAGTTCCGCCGTGAGAGCATTACTACTGTCATCCTCCTCTTCTGCAGTGTCAGCATCAGCCCAGTCAGGTTCTTCGTCAACTTCTGACATCATGTTGAGCAATGTTCCGACAAGAGACTCGATTAAACTGGATGACTTTCGTACACCTGCTGGTATATTTTCTGCTAGTGTAACAATCACTTCCAAGGCTAGATGTCTTTGTGTTTCCTCAAGCTCTTCGTTACACAATATCTACATAAAAAAAGAATTGTGTTTAAAAAATACGGTTCAAGATAGAATGATTTAAAAAATTCGAGTGGTCAAAAAGTTTGTGCTTTTAAAAAGCCTCAGGATTGCAATCTAGCTTATGCATATAAATTTTGAATGGAAGACAAAGACCTTAACAAGATGTCATGAATGGAAAAAACGAAAACTAACTAGCAGTTGAAATTTTCAGATAGTTATTTGTGAAAACCATATTTGAAATAATCTCAGCGATTGAAATCTAAATAATTTCAACGTTTCGTCCAGCAAAATTGTCTGGACTTCTTCAGGGTAACTATTGAAATCAAGACTATCAAAGAAATATATTATGTTTAACAATCAAATCAAAACTTTACTGTGTTTATCCAATCATATCCAGATGTTGACTTTAGTAAGAAGGATAATATGAATCAGTTATATGCGAATCATGTGAAAATTTCACAATATGAAGATAAACAAATGAATGATTGTGTGTAAGTTTGAGTTATTAATAGTTGATATTAGATGTTAATTTGTTTTCGTTAGAAGTAGAAATCAAAAGTGCAAAGTGAAAATGTTTTTTGAAACGTCGATGTGTATACAAAATGAGAACCATCAAATACATAATGGTAGTGGTAAAATATCCCAATTAATTCCTGTCAGAATAACGATGTATGTGAAATAAATAGGTTGCATGGAGATAGAGTCTAATTACTTGTTAATGATCATTGGACAAGGAGTGGCTTTATAACTACAAAGAATAAATCTGGGATAATACAAGTGTCCATTGAAATTTCCATTTAATAATGTAACTTGGTTGATTCAAAGTAAAAAAAAACAATCGTTTTTGTTTAAAGTTTGAACAAGTACAATCAGTAAGTTACTACCTGTAACAAAAAAGTCTACAAATAATCAATTTGTGAACTTGTTCTATGACGAATAATTTATAATGGTTAAATTTGAACTATTAAAATTTGGTTTAGCATTTTGTTTTGAAAAACTTTGAGACTGAATATGATTTTTTAAAAAGAAAAAGAAAAATAATTTTAGAATATTTTGGTGTTAAAACACGTAAGGATTTATAATTCAGTGTACAGTGAATGACAATTAAGTTTGGAAAAGTGACTAAATCGATTAAAGTGATCATTTGTAAAACTAATAAATATACATAACAGTTCACATAATAAATATTTCATCTACTGACATGCAATTAGTGAATGCCCATTAATACAATAAAAATCATTTTGTGTACTCAAATTATAAAGTAATGAAGATTTATCCGTAGCAAGCACTTAATGCATAAGACTAATATGTTTAGAACAATTAAAAATAGTTGATGTTTTTCCGCACAATGTTACGCTTTCTAAGCATTGTATATTTGTATAAAGGGTATGAATGGCAACACTTAACAGTTTTCCGGCCGATAGCATATTCTGACAGTAAGCCGTCTAGTGTTATAAATTTGTCACCCTTATTTTGTCTATTTAAAATAGTGGTTTATTACATTCTGAACTTTTAATTATCGTTTCACATGTTCAAACTTTGTTTTGCCTACTTAGTGATTTCATTTTATTTTTGTGGCGATTCAGCTCGTCTCCCAGTTTGATGCAAAGCTTTGTAAACAGACCCGTGAAAAATGAACGTGTTTACTGTTTACTAAAATAAGGATTTTCACTTAAGATTTCATTGAATATATGTTGGTTGTAAAAGTTTAGTATGTAAAAATAAAACTGGCTGTATAGACTTTAAAACTGGGTTTAAAGCTATAAGTGCGAAAAAGCGAATTATATATATGGAAGAAATCAATAAAAAGCAAGAAAAAAATGTATTCGTAACATACCTTATAGCATAACTCCAATGTAGGCGCTAGATAAGGTCTTAAGTATTTATGCGCAGCATCTGCAATGTCAACTAAAGCTTTTAGAGGTGTATCATCTTCTGAATCTGTTTGGATAGCAGTAGCAATAGCCTGAAACAAGGAATACAAATTAGATTGATACATCAAATAAGTGAGAAACAAAAACTTACGGTAAACCTTTTTTATCAGATGGAAATTATGAAAACCAACAAAATATAATCTATTTAATAAGATGACAGATGAACCAAAATGATGAACGATAGTTCATCATTATCAATGATTTCTGATACAATTTAGTAAATAAGAATGAAAAATACAATATTTTCTGCCTCAATATACAAAAGAACAGCCATAATACAGAGAACCATCAAATTAGATTGTTACTACGTGGAGAATAATAACTCTCATGTATGAGTTACAAATAACTAAAACTGGAGAGAGAAAGCAACTGAATTTTAATAGTCGACATCTCTAAGTTAGACAAATTCCTGATATTAATTACGATGAAATATGGGTAAATTCTAAACAACTATACCTGTAGCGCAACGGGAACCAATTCTCGGAGAGATTGAAGTACAGAGTCTTCAGTTGCATTTTGAACAGTAAAGGCAGCTAAGGCACGTAACCCTGCAGCTCTAAGCTCTGAACTTGAAGGGTCAGAAATAGCCCTGACCAGAAACTGACCAATAATCCCTATGCTCTGTGCCTGTTGGTTTCCAAATAGTGATGGCACTGATCCAAAAATGTGGCAGGCGATTTCGCGTAACCCGGAATCAGGTGAATTTGACCATTCAAGCAAAATGGAAGTGAATTCTGGCCATTCAGAATTACCATCATCATCTGTATAAATGTTCAAAATCATATTGTTAATATTGCAGCGAAAAGAATTGCGTTTACTAATACTAACAGACAGAATTTTGCTCCTTTCAAACTGATGAACTATTTGATCATCATTCTAGTTGCGTGGAATGGTGGTTTAGTGGTTAAGGTATTCGACTTTTGGGATTTGAAACCCGATCCAACTACTTCGATATGGATAACCGGGTTTTCTCATAAGCGCTTAAAACTAGGGTGTGACATATTCTGGTGGCTGATGAATGAGTTAACCTAATTCTGATAATACAATCTAGTTGTAAATGATTTCTGCTTCTAGACTAGTAAATTGAAGCACACTGAAATATAACACTGGATGTTCATTTTCAAATACACGAATTAAACCGTACAATCACAGCACGTTTCGAAACAATATACTCTACCTATATAAGCCCATAGCACTAAAATGTACTAATCATATTTTGGAATACCTAGGATATTTGAACAAATATATTTTCATAAATATGTGAAAATCCCCTCTCATAAAGTCTTACAACAGATAATAACATTGTTTTTAATAAACACCTATCTACTTCTTGACTTGAATTATATACACATTTTGAGCATGAGCACCAAATAATAGTCACTTAAAACGAAGAAATTCAAGAGAGCGATAAATAAACCTACCGGACTGCATTCGAACCAGTTCGGAGATCAGATCAGCTACTTTTCTGCGCATTAATTGTTCTCTTTCATGAACTAAAATTAAAACTAGCTGTTGCTTAGCTGAATTTTTTGCTTCGACTGGAAGAGGCAAGAATGCTGAACCATAATCATTGACTAGTAGCCGGCGTGCGAGAATCGCAGCCATATGTCGAGACTGACAACAATCCAGAAATTTAAAAATTAACAAAAAAATTATTTCGAAAGTGAATAACATCACAGCAATCAAGGTGAAACCCAACCCCACAGACTTTTTAGTATGTAGTACTACAATTACAAACAAGATGGTTTTGACCAGTATTATGTTTACATAAATTTTTCAGTCTTAAAACAGTCATGACGGACCAAATAGACACTAATGTGATAGTATTTAGGAAGTTGGTAACATCTGCAGGACAGGAAGTTGGGGACAAAAAGCGTGACCTGATCGCCGACACACAAGACTAATTTTGGTTTGTTCACATGTCATAGTAACTTGGTGTTTGTTATAGAAACGATTATTGAAGTAGGAAAGACGATACAATTCATCTAAATTAATAACTGATTAGCCTACGTTTTAACACTGAGAGCCAATCATTTATTATCTAGAAAACGATAGTAAATCACATACTGAAGCACATTAATTTGATACGGACTTATACATAGAACCCATCATGTGGTTACTTTGATAGAAAACATTGCTCATCCAGGTGGGTGAACATAAGTAGCCCGTCTTAATTACTACAGCTAATGGGTGTTTAAAACCTCACCAATCGATTTTTCATTTTTTCCCAGTATTCAATGCTTGACATCAGTATTGCTCACTTGGTCGCTCCACAAAGCGTAGGAAATACTTTGGAGATATCCATGAGCAAAAACCTGCTATCCATGGATGTCTTTTGCTTTCATGGACCATGTCTTGCAATCATAACGTGAAAGGGCACACTGCTGAGCAGCACACATGTTACTTAGCAGATGGACATCTCATCTGCGCCACAAGTGACGCAAGTCGGCAAATGAAGATCAAGTTACCGACAGACGCCATCTAAGTAGGACTGATTACACTCCCAAGACAAGTGAAGCGGTCGGCACACTCAACCACCTGATTCCCTATCATTAATTCAGACAACAATACAGACGAGTCCTGAATAAACGTTTCGTACTTAGAGGGAGAAGAATGCGTTCTGAACACGCTAGCATTTTTGCTCAAGATCATGAAACTTTTATTTTATTAGCATCATTAGACAGAGGTGGCACCTGTGGATCCGAAGTGAACCTCCTAGTAGACCAGCCCCTGAAGTTAGGTGTTGTTTCTAAGACATCTATGACGAACAATATTTGAAGGTCGACAACCGTGGTGATACTTCTTCATAAGCTCACTCGACAAATACTGTAAAAGAGAACCTTCGCAAGGTTGACGTAATTCATTGATACATCTCCCAATAATACATGTTGACAACCTGATGATCAACTGATTTAAATGTTACCTTAATGTCAAGAAATACAATTATGGTCAGGCGCTGGTATGTTCGTTTCCAGCACATTTGGTCAACATGTACACGCCCTGGTCCAAAACCATCTTGCTTTTCACAGGTCTTAGCTAAGTGTCAAGTGATTATAAAGGCTAGTATTTTAGACACCATAATAGTTTAATTAATTTTGCTGCGGTTATCACAAAAGGACTTGCGTCCTTTCTTACAAACTGGGATTACCAGCAATAGACACTAGTCAGATGGGATTGTGTTCAGCTTTTTTGTAAGTTTGGACGCTTTTGTCTGGATTTAGTAATATCAAGAGCTCAGACATGAAACAAAACTTAGTAAACGAATAACATTGAAAGGTCGGGAAATACAATAACTCACCCTACTGTTCCTAAGTCGTGGTGGGATTGGGTATGATTGATTACTTTCATCAGAGTTCATAATAGTGCAACTTATGTTTATCATTCAGAGATATTAACTCCGATTATGATAATACCTTGTCAGTCATAAGGACCTTGTGAACACTGTGACGTAATCTTATAGTTAGTCTGGTTACGAGTAGTTGGCTGCACGATATCATGTTGCAAACTTCGCTACAATTAATTAAATGTGGCCACATCAATGTCTGCGAAAAGTTGTTTGATACCAGCACCAAATCATTCCCGGTTAAGTTCTAGGAAAGTTCACGTACAGCAGTTGTGACTATCCATATCTTGATACAAAGGTCTATACATCGTTGCGTAGGTCGCTATTAAGCATATCTGATTTAGCGGATAAAATTAAATGTCAGTTAATCTGGGGTGGTCGAAAGGAAGCAGTTCTGTTAGGTCACCAATTACTGGGATATGAAATATAACAAGCATAACAAGATAGGCATAAACTGAAGGGTAGTTGTAATATTTAAAGTTTAGTCCTAACTTTTCTCATCTGCGAAAAACTAAAAGGCGATAAATACTTGGGCAACACAAATTATCAAAGGTACACAAACAGGGATTCTGACACCCATGGTAAAGTATAGCCACGTAACAGACATTTGACTACGGACGCCAAAATATAACACACTCAGAACTAACCTGAGAGACAATACTCTTGTCATTTAACACTTGGAGGAGCAGAGTGAATCGAGTTGTTGGTGTAATGGCATCGTACGCCGTCTAAAATAACAATGAAAGCAAAACTCTGATTTACCTCAGAACGTGTACGAGATTCGTTATCCGAGCTTTGAAGTTGTAACAACAAAGTTTGGAATGCAGCGTAATCGGACATTTGAGACCCAACGATAAAACCCTAGCACTTTACGACTTCAACTAGCGTGCCCGACCTCGCGCAATATCCTGAAGTGCGCGGCAAAACCCAAATTTGCGCTGTAATTAACAAGGTGTAGATCAAGATACCTACCAGATGCATTGTAACCAGCTATAGACAGGTTTAAGTGTCAGAATGCTTTATTGTTACGCGAAATACTCTCACTTGGCACCACAATTCACGCTGACTATACTTACCCAAGGTGTCATTTTGGGGAAAGTAATAGCAGTTTGAAAGCGCATGATTGCAAATTCCATGTTAACGCTAGTGATTATGTCTCTCAATTTACTTAACCTTCTTTTGAATGCATCCACTAAATGATTTTTCACCACATCGTGGTGTAATAGAAGCGCTATTTAAAAAGGATAGTGGTATTTTTCCTCGTTGAGTTGATTTTACAGTTTTGGTTGTTTATTACGCATTAAGACTACTACCTTCGCTTTAACTGAATTTATTTCAGTTGAAGTAATACCAATAGTAACGTTTTTCCGAAGTTAATTTATCAGATGTACTTTTGAGTATCTTGGATTTCAGTTTGTTACACTTTTGACTCTAACGGTTTACGGTTCCACTTTTTCTCCTGGTTATCACGTTTTGTCTCACTGCGTTTTCGTGTCTAATTTATTCGGAAACCTCTGATTGATGACTGACTATTGCTAAAAAATGAAGCTGTAAATGTTTGGGTTTCTGATACTTAGTGGAAAGTGGCATTCAGTGAGATGAGTGCAAATGATGACATCACAGCGATATCACGAATCTAACTCCTCTGGCTTTCAAACGGTTTAGCAAAAATAGTTACGTGTGGTTGAATCAGAAATTCTGCTCGGTCTCAAAAAGCTTGCTATCCGAAGCCATGGTGAACACTGCTAAAAGGAGTATTGGCAAGTGTAATCGAGATAATTCAAATAGTACTCGCTCTGTTGGTAAATAAACGAGTATTGAGCCATCCCAACTAATCACAGAGTCCTTGGCATTACATGAACCATAGGAAGAAAGACCGACGTCAAAGAGATCTCTTAGGAATAAGAGCTCAAGAGAACAGGTTTCTTCTGTCCCCCTCTCTTTCAACGGCAGTAGACAGGAGACGACTAGAAAACCTAGTGATACAGCTGAGTCTTTAACGATCTGACTACCCAAGTTATAAACAACCACCCAGGATCTCACAGGGTGTGTAACGCAACTGTTATCACTACTCCAGCAAAAACTGACGAAAGCGTTCAAACCAAGAATAAAAACGACCTTATGTCATTGAAGAAAACACAATCTCCTCAAACATTAACTGAGGAATCAAAGGCTGATCATCATGACATTCCAGTCGTCTCTCATAGGAACAAGGAGAGTAGAAGCTTAGAATCCAAAACTCATTTCGAGCATGATGAAGCGGTAAATAAATCCCCAAAATAAATAACTCTGTAAGTTTTCGACATTGGATGCTGACCACATTGGTTTTAATGGACTCACCTAGCTGAAGGCGCTCGGTCATGCATCCGCACCAGATCACGAGTGAGAACGCCGTGCTCAACAACCCCTGCAATCGCTAGCTAGATTAGATCAGACGATCCTCGATACATTGATAGTCTATCAAATATATCTTCGAACCTCCTCGCCTCTGTCATTTGATTTCACTAGGTGGGTACGCTTTATATTTGATGTTACTGGTTAAAACGTTGTCAAAATCCGAATACCTGTGGCATCGTCAATGATATTGAGTTGATAAAAGATATACTTGACCACTTATTGCCTCAAGACATCCGTGAGGTCGGAAGTTTTTGTTCTGTTTAGACAAAAGAACTTGAAAGAGAATAAAAACCGGGCTGCTAAAAGTATTAAATACGTCTCTAAATGAAAGGACCTTGGCACTACAGAATGGACGTTAATTAAGGGGGCTAGGAGTTTGTGTTCGCAGACTTGCCGCTCGCGGATCGTGCGAAAAGGCAAAAAGCTGAAGGAGAAGTAAAACTAAGATTAAATGCTGGCGAGAAGGACCTTAGAGTGAAAAACTTTAAGGCTATGACTCTTTGATGGAGAATGACGCCGAAACCACTCTGGGCGCAGCATGAAGCCAGTCAAATTGTCATCGAAACTGAACATAAATCAAAAGATTAAGAGAAATGATAACATCCCAGTATTATGGAAAGACAGCAGTACTAACGATTGGTGGGGAGGAATATTGTAAAGACAGGAATTCTAAAATTACTTTGTCGATGTATTTACCCCACCCTCTAATTCATATGACGCACACACGCAGCGTATACTACCACCACTGAAGAACCCAATATCCTTGGTCTGCTAAGTGACCCTCATATAGTCAAATTCATGAAACTCGATTAAATCCATACTGGGTTGCTAAAGGAATTGATAAATTTCACAGCGAATCCCTCAGGCATATGTCTTAATCTATCTGTAACCCACGGTCGATTACCAAAAGACTGGAGGAATATCATAGTAAATACTGACTTTAAGACTGTTACAAGACACAGACATGAGGACTACCGACTCGTAAGCCTTACCAGTATGGTTGTCAAAATAAAGAAAACATTATTACGAAGGAGTTATTTGAGTATTTAGACAAAATCCAGATTCTTTCTGAAAGGCATCACGACTTTTGAATAGATTATTAATGTCTCACTAACATAATAGTAGCTCGTGAAAAATGCTGAGCTCTTACAGATCAAAAGTTACCTATAGACGTAGCCTAGATTGATTTCAGTACGGCTTTCGATAAAGTTCCTCACAAACGACTTTTATCTCAGTTATGTAATATTGTGAATAAAGGCAATTAGGTAATGTGGATAAAGACTTTCTAGTTAGGCGTGAGCAAACGGTTCGGGTGGACTCGAAGTTGTATGGCTAGGAAACTGTGGTTAGGAGAATGCCTCAAGGTATAGTTTTGGGCTCATGCGGCAGTGGTATTACCTTCGCTTGTATCTACTTTAACTGATATATTTCTGCAATAAAGTCCTCTGTGTTGTACAGTCTTCAATGCGTCTATAGTATCTTGATACGTCAAAAGGGTAATCGGCGTAAGGTGCTGACCGAGAGGTGTGACTTGGAAGTTAGCTGATTCGTCACACCATTCCCGCCTAACTCGAGTAGGCCTACAATCATTCGACATAGATCATCTATGTTGGTGATCTACATTATGCCTACATACAAAGGAGTTTTATATGAGTTAAGCAAGAGTTATGTCTCTCTAGAGTTAAGAATCCTTTTTTAATACCAAGACATAGATTAAAAAAACAAGCAATAATGCGTCATGGATATTTAAGGCTTGAAAAACTTATTTCCATAACACATATATAATCGAATCTCAAAAACTTTGTCAAACCAGAAGTCAGAAACGTAAGAGATTAAAGATATATTTGTGAGATATTCGGTATGTTAAGGAGTGTGTGGTTCAATCTGACCAATTGTTGAGAAGGATGAGTTGCATGGCATGACCTAAGGCGATTTGGTTCGAGTGAGTGATTTGGCATAATCAGCATGTTTAGTAAGACTGACGAGGTCAGTATCGAATACATTGGGAAGATTCATTTACCGTATTCCGAGTTTCACAACACACTTAGACGTGACACTGAAGATGCCACAGGTATTCGGATTTTGACAACGTTTTAACCAGTAACATCAAATATAAAGCGTACCCACCTAGTGAAATCAAATGACAGAGGCGAGGAGGTTCGAAGATATATTTGATAGACTATCAATGTATCGAGGATCGTCTGATCTAATCTAGCTAGCGATTGCAGGGGTTGTTGAGCACGGCGTTCTCACTCGTGATCTGGTGCGGATGCATGACCGAGCGCCTTCAGCTAGGTGAGTCCATTAAAACCAATGTGGTCAGCATCCAATGTCGAAAACTTACAGAGTTATTTATTTTGGGGATTTATTTACCGCTACAACACTTTGTTAATCGAAGGATACCAACCCAATGAAATCAGAGGTCAGAAATGAAAGAAATGGAAGATATATTCGGGAATCTATTGATACATCGAGAAGCGTTTAGTCTAAGCTGGCTAGCAGGAATGCGCGGGGTAGCTACTCGTGAACTGGTGCGGATGGGTGGCCGAGCGCATTCATCTAGGGTGTATCTAATAGATAAAATATTCATCAGTGATGAAGACGTACAGAACTATTCATTTTGGGGGGTCTATTTTACTTTGCAACAACTACAAGAAGTTTTTTCAGAAAAGTGAACATTGAAGTACTTTTGAAGTCAATGTTTCTGAGTCTTTACACATAATAAGGTATAACAAGGCACAATAAATTCGTCGTTTCTATCCGACCAAGGTCGAAGTTGGAGGAAAAACAAACGGAATTGATTTGTGACTTCAAGGACGCTACGGGTATGATTATTCAAGTTTTAACTTGACACTTGTTAGTTGTTAAGTGCTACCATATTTAGGAGTAAGTGAGTATTTGTTGTATGCTTCAAGCACATATGGGCCTGATTAACTGTTTTTCATCTCTTTTCTAGGTAATACGTTAAGGGAACTACCATCACCAAGTCTAATTTCACTGTCCATCGATTCCTAACAACAATATACCTGAAGACTGAGCACAAACCTGTTTACGACTGGAAACTTCTCAACCTGTTCGGAAATCCTATCGCAGCCATGTTCGTAGTTCTCTCGGCGTTAATTGTTGCATGTAATAATTACTTCATAATGCTTTGAGATCATAGGTTTGGATCAGATCGTATGCTTTGGCGTGGGTCCTGTCACATCACCTGCTACTTTTCGAATTGGCTCAAATGATTCAAACATACTATTGCAAGGCTATATAAATATAACTTTGGCTTACACAAAGGTTAGGATCCAATTTCACTTTCATACATTTGATTTGCGAAACTGGACGAACGGTAATTTATGGTCAACCCTAAGGTCGTTAGTGACCTCAAGATAATTCACTTACCATGGTCAAAGGAGTGTTATAAGTTAATTAGTAGAATTATAATTAGGATATATAGTTAGAACTTAAGGTTTGGAATTCAAGTAAGGGTTTTCATCGTGAACTGACATTAGCTATCATGGCAAAATA